GGGAGAACGGCCGAGGCACCCGCCCGTGTGAATTATTTGACTAGAGAACGGCGAAATGGCCATCCCATAGTTCCCGGAAGAACGCCAGCGCAGATGCTAATTATTTTACAGCGCTAATTATCGAAATAGTTGCCGTTTCCTCTTCGGCTCTGAGAGCTTAAAGAGGAGACGTCGTTCGCGATTTCAGCTCCAGACTCAATCTTCCGCCACTGACGTCCCATCACGTTTTTTCTATTATCTTCACCCTAACGGATCTTCTTCCTTTCGTTCTCTTTCTTCCTCTCTTTTTTATCTTTCATAATACCGCTCCTTTGCGGCGTTCCATTGTGCCGATTATGAATAACTGTAATGACGCGACATCGTCACGGCAAGTGTATGACGACTCTCAAAGACTATGAGCATCCCCCCTTCTTCAGAATTGGGTCATCCCGGAGCTCTACTTTAACAAAACCGGGGGTTTCTCTCCATAATCCCCTCTTTCTGCTGGATTCCCGCGGAGCTGTATGTGCATACAGTCACAGTTATAAATACTCACTTCAACATTCGCGGGCCGTTATAGCATTACTTAAACTGACTCGATGCTCCTTACGGTAAAGTATCTTATTACCAAGTTCGTTGTAAGTATCTTATTGCCAGTCGTTAAAATGGTTAAGTTTTGCGTCTCTCGCGAAATTCAAATGCAAAGAGCAAATTACAATCCGCCGGCGCTACGTGTGCCTTTTTAAACGCGTGGTATTACACGAAAATGTTTTATCAAGGTAAATAATTTTAGGAGCGCGCGTGCGCGGCGTACGTTCATTTAAGACTTAAACTTTGTATTCTTTCTCCTACAACGAGAAATAAAAGTTGCAGAAATATATTTAAAAAATTTAAAAGTTAATCTAAATGTTTTTTTTTTTTAAGTAATTTTCATTCATCTTTACATGAGAAAACATTTCATTCGTGGTTTTATTGTCGTTGCTTCGCAATTTCACCGTCGTTATCTACATTGTCAATTAAAAATACTGACAATATTGTTGCAATAATGCTCGCATTTCAGACACGAGGGAATAGTAACTTGTGAATTTCTCATTGATGTAAGAGTGCAATAGTCTCAACGCACTTGTAATCCCCGAAAACCGCGACTTGCGTTACGAAGAACTTACACGAGGGTGACTTTAAGCCTCGCGCGAAATACCTGTTCTCAGTTTTCGTATGAATAGTTATACCGACACGGCGGTGCTCTGATTCGGGAGATACATCTACACTTCTGAAGCAGCATTACAACAGAGTGGTCGCGTATAATGAAGTGTACACGTGCAATGTGGCGCAACACCGCGCCATCCTCTTGATAATGCTCTTGCATATGTATTTCTAATAAATTTAGGAAACGTTGCGCGAGTATATCTCGTGTTTTCTAGGCCGTAAATATACACCCCCCGTCAACTCGTCGAGTATAAATTGTGGCGCGGTCCGGAATTGCAGAAAGAGAGTTAAGTTAAGAAAGCGCCGTGCCAACATCGGCGAGTCTGACCGCGCGCGACTGTCTTTCTCTACTGATTCTTTTTCTACTGCAGGTCCGACCGCAAATATTCTTTTCTACTGCTGCTCTGACCACATTCTATCATCTTCTACTGAGTCTTTTTCTATTGCGGATCAGACCGCGTGTCTGTCTCTACCAATTCTTCTCCTACAGTACTCCTGCTTTAGAAACTCTTTTATACGTCTTTTTCGCTTTTAACGTACGAATGCATGCGTATTTCGCTAAGCACTAATTCCATTTCCACATATACTGTATAGTAAAAATGTGTATATAGTATATAAAATAGGAAAATAAAAAAAAGAAATATATATAAAAAAGAAATATATATAACAAATCCCCTACTAACACATATACGTATTAGCAGCAGGTCCGATCAAAACTGTCGTTTTCTACTGATTCTTTTTCTGCTGCTGGCCTGATTGTAACTATTTATTTCTAATGACTCTTTTGCTATGGCATTTACTCTTTTACAGGTTTCTTTCTTTTGAAAAACACGCACAAATGCGGCTATCCAAAGAAATATAATATTTTCTTTAGCAAAAATCCTACTCTGCATTTTTCTTTTTAAGGAAGACTTTGCTGATAAGTAAACCTATCCAAAGGTTACACTCTGATTTCTTTCTAATTTAGCACAAATGTAAAAATACAAAAAATATTTAGGTCATATTTTCTCATTTTGATAACAAACGTGTTAGATATGAATATTTAACACCCAGAAAAATATAACTTTCGCGGAATTCTCTTATATGTGGCATCAAGTTAATTCTTCTAAAACCCAAAGAGGAAAATATTCTAAGCACAATATTTTTAAAATTCCACGAATTTTATCTTCCATTTACAGTACAAATTTTGTTCTTAATTTCTTTTAGTAAGAGAATATTCTGTTTCAAGTAAACATATCTCTCTTAATTAAAAACAAAAAAAGTTCGAATAATATTTCAGATAGAGATTTTCGATTAATAGTTCACTTCACTACAAGATGAGTGTTCTTTTGATAAACTTTTTCACTCAAAATATGGCATTACAGGATAGCACCTTGCGATTAGAATTCTTTTTATGAGTATTGGAATATTTTCTTTTTAGCTTTAGAGAGAAGAATCTTCTTGAGGCCATATATAAGAGGATTTAAAAATATATTTATACGAGTGCGTATTTTTTGCCAAATGCTAATTGCGTTTTTTATAAATATAATACAAGAGAGTACGATATTTAGCCAAGTTCAGCTAACTTTATAAAGCTAATTTTATCTCACCGTAATATCCTCCGAAATATAATCTTCGTTAAATTTATCCAGAACATAGAATAAAATGGCTAAATTAAAATCCTTCTTGCTTCGGCAAAAAAATTATAAACGTCTCTCTCGGGTGTTTGAACCAGACCATAGAGCAACATTTAGCCGTCTCGCAAATGGCATTTCTTTCATTTTATGCGTCCTACACGCGTATAACATTTTAATATACTGGAGCGTTATCTTTTTTCACGCGTGAGCGCGCTATGTCGCATGGTAAAGCTCGACCCGCAAAAATAGAGGGCACGATCGGCCGTCGGTCGAAAACGTCCCGGAAAAGTTGCGCGCGGAAAGTTTCCCGTATATAGGTCGTCGAAAAATTCCGTACAACGCCACGAGCTCCCGGTGAGTCTGCCAACCGCAACGTTAGTAAAAGTTCGCCAGCACGCCGGTGAACCGCGAGCGCAGCTTTGAGAGTCTCTGTCGCGCGCAGCTTTTCATTTAAACGCGCATCGTCTTAGTCCGCCTGTCGTTCGCATTTTCGCCGCATTCACGAAAGGGAGGAAAAGAGAGAGGAAGAGCGGAGAAGAGAAGTAGAAAACAAGAGAGACTTCTGCGCGCAATTTCGACGAACGTTTACCACGCGCGCGCTCTCTCATGCACTTAGTGGAATATAAATTTAACGGGTCACGTTTCGCGTTCGCCTTCCGTCTTTTTTACACGTGCCACCAGTGCCGGATATAAAAGTGACTGCTCGTAAGAGAGTTGCCGCTGCGAGCCGTACGTGTCACTATCGTACGTACGTCTCGCTATCAATTGCAGAAACGAATCCTCCGTTCCGGAACGGAACGGAGAATCGCCGGACGTTACGATGGCCGCCAACGCCGGCACCGTTGCCGCCGACGGCGTGCGAAAATTCGATTCGAGCCGAGCTGCGGGAGTGGCAACGATCGACTAGTACGAGAGATGTCGAGTGCCTCCACTGCGAGAGACGAGCGAGAGGGCGAGTGCGAACGCACGCCTTAGCGCAACGCTATGCTGACTTCCGTGCTCGTCGAATTGCACGGCTTCGCCCGAAAATCCAATACGCTCGATTCTGACGGTCCAGCACGCCTCAGTAATTTGAACACGGATCTAAACGGATCCGCTGTAAGACCCGTCCATTTCAGACTAGTTTGGCACGTGCAAATCCAATCCCTCGATGAGGACGCTCATTCTCAATTAGAATTAGGAACCGTTATATAATTATCGCGGGAATGGTTGGAAATTTTATCCTATTTCGTCATAAATCGTGCCGAAAATATTCAGAGTGGCTGACTTTCCACGTAAATCCGAGCTAGACTTCGTTCCTTCTTCTTCTCCCTCGCTCGTGTAATTTCGTACCTGTCACTATTAAGTGTGGAACTTCACCCCAGAGTGAATTGCTCTTTCTTTCTTCCTCTCTATCTTTTCCTCACTTTTCTTTTCATATTTAGGAAATTATCATTTGAGAAAATTTTATAACAGGATTTGAAAGTCATCACTGTTATCATCCGATCGAAAGTGAAGAGAAATATCTCGAACTATAATCTCATTTTTAGCGGAATCCTTTTATATATGGAGGAATCCTCGAGAGGATTCTTCTAAAAATCGAAAGCAAATTATCTTAACACCAAAAAAAATGTTAATTGCAAATTTTAATTGTTATTTAATTGTTACTGTCTAAATAACAATTCTTACTTTAATAATGTATAATATACTTTAATAATTAATAATGTAACTTCACATTAGAAGTGGAAAGAATATTCCTCTTCTAATAAAATGAACTATTAAACAAAAATCTATTAGATAGGTCAATAACTATTGCCACCTTAAATATCTCCAAAGCAACAAATAAAGGCGATTTTCAGATTTTCTAGAAAAGTTATTCTGGAAAAAAGCTGCTCATGATAATCACGCTTTTCCCCCAGAGGAATAGCTTCCGTCTCAGAAAAAAAGGACCTTGAAGTCATCTTTGTCTTTTGTTTCAAAGATGGAATTCAAGGTAGCAACCTTGTTATTGACTCCTCCTGTATAAGAGGATTTCTGCTATATAAAGATGAGATGATATATCTTTACGTAAATGTAAAGCTGCTGTTCACTCGAGTCTGTATCCGAAAAGTTAAATAATTTATATGTGCCTAACTGATACAAGTGCTTCTGTAATTTTCTGCAACTTCACGTATATGTGAACACGATCAATCTAAGAACGTTCTTTCTTTTGTCTTGCAGGCTACCGGCGATCAAGGAACGCAATCACTTCACAAACTTGACGCAGCGATGGTCATCAACATATAAACAGTGCATAGATTGGATCCCTGTGGGCCATTTCTAAGCTCAGGTCGGTTGGAACACTTGTTGAACGTAGCGTACTCCTAATAATCCCCTAACCAAATTGTATGCTTCGTATAAACCTACCGTCGTTTCGCGACGGCGCGAGATTACACGCGTGACGTCGTGCGAAATTTCCCGATTGAATTACCGTATCGTCACTCGACAGCGAATGAACTGCGGATCGATACGTGTGTATCCGCGACGGCGGACAAGACTTGCGAAAGCGTACTGAATCGCGAAAACACGGATTCAGCGCGATCTCTGGTCGTTGACGGAAATGATCGCGCGGTAAAATGAGACTCCATCGTCGAATTATCGCACGATGAGGACACGATGAGAAATTTTTCATCCTTCATATCATGGTTGCGCCGGAAATTCAGCTCGCTGAACCGTGCCAAAAAATTGCGCGCATCTAAAATTGAAACATCTTAAATCTCGAAGTCGCCGCGCCGTTTACCCCCGGGATTTTAATGAATAACTAAATTCCCGCGACCGCATCATCCGCGCGTCTAATTTCCAGGTCTCTGCATTTTTGAATTATCCGACGGGCGTGTGAGAGAGAATAAAAATACCCGCAACGCAATACAACATTGCGCAATTCCTGCGGAGTTTACAATTCACGAGGCGCGGCATATACATAACCGTGCAAAAGCCGCACAAAAGCAAAACAGTAGTTACAGCAAACGAGTCGCGAGATTGCGGCCGGCGCGAGCGCGCACGTATGTGGCCCGTTGCGACTCGTTAAAAGTGCAGCTTGGCGTGGCTAAACTCCAGAAGTCAATAAAGAGATAGTGTACAGTCGCCGCGCTCTACGCAGGAGCAACAAAATATTTCACGTTAAACCGGCGCGCGCGAGTGACCCCCGTAGGCGAAGTTTGCCGAGTAATATTAGATTACGAGCGGCAACGTGAGCGTTTTCGTACGTCACGCTGTGCATTATCGATGCTTTTACCGCTAACGACGCTTTTAGGGGCCGCTTTTCGAAAGTGTGTGTCTGTCTGCGCGTGTATATATGTGTGTGTGTGTGTGTGTGTATTTCTCTGTGTATGTATGTGCAACACTTGCTCTCGCGAGGTGGACGAATAACGTGGCGCCCCACGTGAGACTCCTTTCTTCGGATTCTATCGTTTTGCACGCGACGCGACCGCGAAAGTACGTGACTACGCGCCAGTAATATCGCGAATGCATCGCGTGCATCCAAGTTTGCCGGACGCGTGCGTGGCGTATCGACAGGCAACAGCTGGGACATTAACCTGAATACATGCATGGGCGCAAGTTCGAAGTTGCCAATAAAAGGATTACTTCGATCCCGGCTCCTGCGACGTAACCCCGTCGCCATCAATCCGCCGCGCGCGATAAGGGATTATGCTCGATTTTACTAAAGTTGCCACATGTATCCCCAAGAACGCGGACCGACCTCGACCGCAGGACGGGCGAGATCCGCGCCCTCTGACGGGATCGATATGGGGATCCTTTTTTTAGACTGATCGAAGATATAGTACGCGCGACAATGGGGTATGGACGGCAAAACGCACGCCAAGATTCTCCCAAGGCCACGAAGATAGGACGTTACGCGGTTACATGTAACCGATTTCCTTGAAGTTAAATATGTATACTGAGGGGAGGAGGGAGAGGGGGAGTGAGTGAGCGTTAAACGGACGGTGAAGGTAGCTGGCGCGGCACGTGCAGCGTAGCCGCGAAGCAAATATAGACGAACGTTGTCTTTATTTTTACACTCATTCTATTGATAACGATATGATTTTTAATATTCCATTAATGGAACATGCCCATTGAACAAACCAGACTCTTGAATGTATAATCTAATAAAAGAAAGAGAAAACGACATTATTACCCTTTCATAGTTTAATCCTTTAAATTCCAAGAATCTATCTCGTTCGAGTAAAATTTTGTTCTTCACAGTGGTCTTAAAAGATGAAGAATTTTGTGACCCGAATAAAACTGACCGTCGATTGAAGTACGATTTTCTGGATGTACTAACTTAAATGTGAGAGAAAAAATATCTAAAAATTAAAAAATATATTTAATGAGTATTAATAAGATATTTATTAAATCTAAATCCTTTTATTTAAATAATTGCTTTCATGAAAAGTTAAAATTTTAAGAAAATGTACACTTTTTATTAAAAAAAAATATGTATATATAATAGTATGTCTATTTGTATGTTCCCCACTAACTTCTGAACCCTTTGATCGATTTGGACCAAATTTTGCATAGTTAATTTGAAAGTTAACACTGTTATCCGATCAAAAGTAAAGAGAAATATCTCGAACTATAATCTCATTTTTAACAGAATCCTCTTATATATGGCCTTAAGAAGATTCTTCCAAAAACCGAAAAGAAATTATTTTAACAACAAAAAAAAAGTTTAATTGCAAATTTTAATTGTTATTTACTTAACTTCACATTAGAAGTGGAAAAAATATTCTTCTTCTAATAAAATGAATTATTAAACAAAAATCTATTAGATATCCTCTAAAGCCCCGCGGAAAATACAAGCATACCATGAAACTTGGATGCCTAATTTCATACCTCTTCCTGATTTAATACTCTTGATACTTTGTGATAAGCTGAGTAACGCCAGGTAATTTAAACTAGTATTTCATATCAGTGTAAATAAATAAATTATTAGTACCTATCGAATAAGTATTTTTGTTTCTTAAATATTTTTTTCTCCCAGTGTATACATTTATGTTTACACATGTGCTTCAGCTACAGAATTCAATCAGCAAGAAAGCAAATGAAATTTGTTTATTCTTTTTAGCGAGAATTTTACGCAATTTCGAGCATCAATAATTCTGCTTCGCGCACAATCGGCATATTGGTTTTTAATCGGGGAATCACTGTTTCAGACGACAGATTGAGACGAAGAATACAGCTCTATCTAGAATATATCGATAGTATTATGTCGACAGATTTATTACTTTATCAATACAAAATAAATAAATTTTAGCATGATCCAAAGTGAATAATTATGTACACTGGCTCTTGGATTAAACAGCCGCGACCAACTCTCTCATTAGCGCACCTTCTCTTTCTCCCTCTTTTTCATTCAGCCATTCCCATAGACTCTGGCAGATAAATTCTACAGAATATCGTGTTAACTTAGAGGGTCAGAAAACAGTCAGTCTGTGAATCGGTTTCGGTGTAAAAGTAAATAGCAGCGAAGCTCACCGCAGTATTTCAGCTGCGCACGTTCCGCGTATACCGCACTCAATGCCGTCAAGTGCGTGATTACGCTACTCTCTGTGCACCGCTAACAAGCAGTAACAAGCGTCATCGCGACGCCTCCGTTACATTTTCTGATACGTGAGCTATATTGTCCCGAAGTTTACGGCGTATACGAGCCGCGCTTGGCTAAAGGAGCTATTATGGTATACGGCGTATACGCCCGCGCGAGACACGACGAAGTGTCTGTCATCTCGCGTTTAATTAATTACACGCGAACTTACACGTCGCGCGCGCGGGCGTGTTTGCCCCGACCTGGCACTTGGCGAGCTTACAGCTTTCGCGCAACGTTACAAGTGGCACGCCACGATACCGCCCTAGCTGCTGTGTATAATTAGATTTATGGTCACGCTTTGATACCGCTTAATTCTTCGCGCCGAAACGGCCGGCGCATAGTTATAGTTGCATTGGTCTAATACGCGGTCAAAAGATAAATGGAGAAAGAGAAAGAGAGAGAGAGAAGAGGGAGGAAGGGAGAAAGAGAGGTAGAAATGGACAAGGACCTGCAGCGAAATGCGAATATCTGTCGGTTCGTATAAGCGCGTATTAGCTTTCTCGTGTAATTATAACGCAGCAATTAGTCAATAGGAAAACGCGCGCCCGCGTATTACAGCGCGACGCAACGTATGAATCCTCTCTCCCTTTCTCTGTTTCTCTCTTTCTCTCTCTCTCTCTCTCTCTCTCTCTCTCTCTGGACTCCCGATTACACGCGCTCACGCTTCTCCTTTGCCGAGCAGCAGTCGCTGCGGTGGCTGCAGCTGAAAGTTTTATGAGCGTTTTCGCATGCCGTCTTTCGCCACTATGCGGTGCGCGTCTTCGTGCGCGGAGAAAAGGAATGTCGTTCGTGGTTGTCGAGTGTCTCGAGCTGCGGATTCTTTCCATAAGTCCGCTCGCGGATCTTCCGAAAGACCATCCCTCATATAACGCGAAGCAAGAATTAATCTTATCTCTGTCTCCCTTTAATTGTGACGTTTTTTTCCTCCGTTTCTTCTTACTCGTTTACGACTGCTTTCATTTCGCGTATGTGTAATGAAAGTGTTTCTCGTTTGCGGCCGCGATTCGGTAAATATTTTAATTGGAAAGCACGACGCGGATCGACGTTGCTCGATATTTCTCAATGTGTAATCGCACACAATGTAATCTCTTGAGTGTCAGTTAATCAGTGAAAATTCGTATTAACTGAACGAACACATGAGGATATCCATATCGAGAGCAACGATATGAGCGATATATCTGCACGCATAATGGGAGGAAAGCTCGTAACTCTGCCGAAACGGTCCATCCGTTCGTCCGTCCGCACGTCTATCCATCGACCCATTCATTCGGCCGTATCGTGCACAAAATCCGCAATCGTGTTTGTTGCCAATCAGCGAATAAGCTTAATGCAATCCTGAGTTTTTCGGTTACGCTGAATGACGTAACTCGATGTGCGACGTAATATGGCGTTTGTGATTTTCGCCGTAACTCCACGAGCAATTCATAAAGATTCTTCAGCGTAATCGCGCGTTGTAGGCTATGCCAATAAAAAAAATACAGGACAAATGGGCTGCATCCCCGCATCAGGAAGAAGAGGAAGAGGGAGGGACGAGGAGACAATCAAACTATCCCATTTGTTAGGATGTCAAGATCACGTAAATGTCGATGAACTTTTTCGCTCATAACTCTTCATCGTTTTAAATCTCGTTTGCGAACCTCAGTCCAATCGAGCCGGGTCGTTTTGCGCGTCGAGAAAAGGTTACACGTGATTGCGATCTCGGGAAA